AAAATATGTAATTTAAAATTTAATATTAATATATTTTATTTTTATATATCGAATTCATAATATAAAATTTTATTTTGTAATTTCCATTATATTAGAAATTCATAATATTAGTGAAATAAAAATTGTATTAAGAAAATTTAAATATATATTTTTAATAAATTATTCAACTAAGATAATTTTTATTATATAATTGAGAGTTTCTAATTTATATTTAAATTAGTTTCTATTTATATTTAAATTAGGAATTTTAATTTATAATAATAGTGATATATATAAAAGTAGGAATAGGAAAGATAAACGTTGGGATTAATCAAGATACTTTTATTAAATTTAGAGATGACAAAATATTTTTAAAGATTTTAATTTTATATTTAAAAAATTAAAGGATAAATAATAAAAAAATTAAGAACTTGTGAAAATAATTAAAGAATGTATTGCTGCCTATATAAGAAATAAACCCTAGAGAAAAATTAAAACCTTCGTTGCTGCTTCTACAATGAGTCTATTTTTTTAGACAACTATTAATAATTTGTTTACTGAACTTAGATTAATTTTTTTTAGACTCTTTGAGCCTAAAGAAAAAAAAAATTCTTCTGATACAATGATGGAACGCATAAGCTCTCAAATTAAAATGCATATACTACGTTCTTAGGTGAAATGTATGTAAGCATATAATTTTCATTAATTATTGTAACTGAATTCCTTTCTCTGCCTTTCTTGACTATTATATATATTGATTTACGACAATTTGTTAATAGAGTTCAATTAATAAAAACTCTTTGCTTTATCATTCTCCTTTATTTTTAGAGAATTAATAAATTATTTTTACTTTTAATCTCTTAACTAAATTTTTATTTTTTTAGAAGAAATTAATTTTTATTTATTAATTCTTATTTAGAAATTATTATTCCATAATTTTAATAAATTATTTTTCGTTTATATCGAAACAACCTAAATTTTTATTTTCAAAATTTTTCATTTAAAATTTTTAATAAACTAACACCCTACGAATTTATTTAACCATTTAAATACAAACATATTTAAACTTAACCATTTAAATGCAAATATATAATTTAAATAGTTGAATCAACCCTACATTAATTGAAAACCCGAATGAAAAGCAATTGGAAATTAAAAACATACTAAAACAATGAATTGGACCGAACCAAATCCGAATCAAACCAAACCAAGACCTAAAAACCTAAATCAAACTATTCTAGAAACCCCCCTACCCCTTCAGCGCCGACTCACCCTTCCCCCTCTCCTCCTCTCATTTTTCCGACCACCAGGACTAGCGCCTCCTCGCCGCCGCCCCTTCGCCGCAGCAGCTCCGACGTCTCCTTCCCTCTCTCCGTTCGATTCCAGTGAAAGCAACAGTCGCAGGAAGAGCTGCGACCTTGCCTCGATCGGGAGCGCGTCGCAGTCTCCTCCTCGGCTCTCCAGCGACGCCAGGGGGTCTCAACGACGGCGTAGCTCCGACCCTCTCTCCCTCCGTTCTGGCTGGCGCAGCAAACCAAGGAGCTGCGATTGCGACTCGCAACAGGTACAGTCGCGTTACCTGCGTTCCTCCTCGATTTTTCGGCGAGCCTAGCCAAGGACCGGCCGGACTACACTCTCTCCACCCGTTTCTGGTCAAGTCAGCGGCGGCAGCGACTGTGTTGGCGCCTTGTTGCTACTGCCGGTCATTTTTAACCAAAAAATTTCAATTTTCAGCCTGTTTGTGCTGCTGGGTAAGCTATATTTTGACTCTTTTAGGTGTTCACAGCCTGTTTGTGCTGGCCTGGGTAAAGCTTATATTTTGACTCTTTTAGGTGGAAATTCACTAAGTTTTTGAATTTTAGTTGAAGGATTGCAGTATAGATTGAATTAATGTGCAGATTAAACTCCTAGCCTTGGATTTCTACTAAGCTGAATTTAGAGAATTTTCGTCAAAATTATTATTATTAGGAATTAATAATTGAGTTTTAAGATGAGTTAAAGTTGGATATATTTTGATTAGGATTAAATAATGTGATGGAAACCTTAATTTTAATTGGTTTTAGCTATCCAGTGGGTTTTATAAAAAATTGAATTATGAATTGAGTTTTAGATGAGTTAAGTTGGATATATTTTGATTAGGTTAAATATGTGATGGAACCTTAATTTTTTTTTTACTATCCAGTGGGTTTATAAAAATTGAATTTTCTTTCCTATACAAAAAATAATATAATAATTGGTTTTTTAAGTTAGTTTAGTTTTGAGTTAATATCTGTTGTTTGACTGTAAACCAAATGAGGTCGTGAATTAAATTTTGTGATTCGAGTTACTTAAAATATAATATGTAAATTTGAGTAAAGTAAGACCCGTTGTTCTAACAGGCAGCAACTATTGGAAAGCTAGTGCCATTTTATATAAATTAATATAATAAGAGATTTATTTATTAAGTTAATTGGAAGTGGTATAGGTATGTCAAAATGGAGGAAAAGATACAAAGCTTTAATTGATATGCTTTTAAGTGGCGAATTTAATTACTGAAAAGATACATTCATCTAATTGTAATTTAATTAAAGCAATGATTCTTAGTGGCTAAATTAGGATTTTATTAAAGGATATTTATGCCCGGGTAAGTTGGATGAACAGAACATATTCTTTTCTCTATCACTGTGAGTAATAATAAATAGTGCATATCATCGTTGCATACACATCATTTATTTATATTTATTTTTATATGTATATCATTATTTTATTTCATTATTAGTATGTGATTATACTTTTATATTTGTGCATTGAGGACTGCTTTGATGCATTATGTTGAGTCAATTGTTTGATTATTTGTGTTGTAAAACTACTGTGCTTTGTTTGTGTGGAATTGGAATGAAGTGGGTCACCATGGGTTTGTGAGGGTAGTCTTCGATACTGTCGGCCATGTTTGGGGAGATCGGCTCCCCGTGTGCATCTGAAGATATATGATATGGAAAACCACAGGATGGCCTGCCTGTTGGTATGGAAAAGAAAAGAGAGTATAAAAAAAGGAGAGGGCTGGTCAAGGGTTAGACCTGTCGGCCATATAAGGGGGATCGGTTCCCTGGTGCACGCGTTTGAGAGGGCGAGCCATGTGGGAGGACGGCTCGTCAGGGGTTTCGGTGACGCCACTGACTAATTTTCACTTGTTTGATTAATTGAAGGTGAAATTACTTGTAAGTACTGATGGTTGTGCCATATACTTGACTGGTTGTGTGTTCACTTTAGTACCTTAGGATGCTTTTCTCTTGAATGCTTGTATTATTCATTATTTATTATTATTCACTGAGTTGAAAAACTCGCTCTTCTTTCACTGAGCTTACTGCTCTTGGGATTTTGTGTGGCGTGTATGGGTTTGGTAGTTTAGGCTTACTACGAGCCCCAGGGCCTTAAGCTTACCTGGGTTCTTGTGCCAGTCCGGCCTATAATTTCGGGTTGTGACACTATTGAACTATTTATATTATTAATTTTAATTTTAGGTTATTTAATTTTATATTTTTTTAATTTTAGTTTTGAATTTGATTTCATTCTATCAATACACAAAATTCACATAAATATTAAAATATACAATAGTATTATAAATTTATATTTCAATTGTTTATTATTTACTATTTAATTAAAAATTAACTTGGAAAAAATTTTAGAATTCTAAATTCATTGAATAAACACATATGATATTTAATTTATTCAAAAAAATGAATTTAATATTATAATTCATATTCTCTTTTAATAGTTTTTTCCAAAAAAATGTGAAATTGAATTAATTAAATTTTAAAATCACAACAACATATTTAAAATTTTAAATACTAATATTTATTTTCATTGCAATTTCTAATGTGTAAATTTTAGGAAATTATTTCTTTTCTATTAAAGTTATTATTTATACTAAAAAAATCTTTATTATTTTATTATTATTTATACTATTTTTGTTTAAAAAAATTTTGATCACATGCAATATATTTTTCCATGTAATTACATTATTTTTATTTTTTTTAATTAAATTTATTTTTTATTCACCGTCCGTACGAAGACACATTTTCGCCTGCTATGAAAAAATTGGCTCCGCTCAGCGAGGGTTGTGGAGAATATAAAAAGCAGCTGCAGACATACAACAACAAAAATCAATAATAGGAGAATAAGAATATTCCAGAAGCGGCAGCAGTAGCAAATACTCTGGCCGCTACGAGGACATCGGCGGCTGTTGTGAGGCTGTGGACGGTAAGAAGGGCGAGCAGTGGGGTTATAGAGATTAACGTTGAATGCAAGAAATTGGTTGTGTTATTCTTGAATGAGCGCAAACCTCTCCAACGCTCTGTAGTGGGATATAATCTCGCACAATTTAGACTGATGATTGATGTTGTTTGGATTTTGGAATAGACAAATAGAGTGAGATAAACAGAGTGATAAGGGCGGGATTTAGCAGCGTTATGTTTGATATTGTCAGTATTACTGGTGGCAATGATCGAGTTGACTCAGAGAGTCATCACCGAGTTGCTTTGATCAAGCTAAGCGATTAAGGAGAGATAGATAGGAGGGAAAATAAAGTTCAAATGGAAAAAGAACCAAGTCGGAGGAAAGAATGCTTTGGTGTAAAAAAAAGTCCACATGTTTATAAATAGCATTTTAAGAAATTTTTATGTAATAAATTGAATTCTAAATTCGAACAATGGCTGATAAAAGTTCCAAGGAGATGAGCAATATTTAGTACTTAGAATGGATTATCCAAACCACTAAGCTGCTGCTGCTGCTTATTTTCTTTTGAACTTTCATCAGCCATTGTTTAAATTTTTTAGGGTGTCAAGCCCCCTCCCTCCTGTCATTGCATGTAAAATTGTGCATGTGCTCCCCTGTTAGTCGATGTACAAGAAGTCAACATGATACGACAGGCCGTCGCACAATGTTAATGTTGAAGCATATCAAAGAGCAATTCTGACGGCGACTCAGAATTCCACTTGTCTCAAAACAAAAGGGGTAATAGTTCAAATGTAATTGCAACGAACTTCTTCAGTAACAAATCCAATATCGCTATATCAGAGACTGGATTATCAAAAGCATTTTTTACAATGTTTAATTGTGACCCCAAAATGGTCAGTGAGCAAATACAAGAGATCAACTGATATCTACTTGTCAGTAAAAGCATTTCGACCTAATTTACAAAATTATATTTACAGTCTTCTGGTCGGCCAAAGAATCGTAAACATCCTGCTGAGCTAAACAAGGCCCTATCTGAACTAACAGTTTTTAAGTTATTTCTAACGAACCCAGCTATGATGCACGTCCTTCACCCCGCGGCATTTTCTTTGATCCCGCTGCCACATTCAAGCAACCAAATGAGATATCAAAACCAAAACCAATTTGCATTTGCTAAAAACTAAAATCTAAAACAGCATAGTTCATATAACAAAACAAATCATTAGAATGTTTGATGTACTTAATTTACACAATGTTAAACTGCCATCAAGGAAAACCACTTCTCAGATCCAACTCACACTAAACCATTCAGAATGCTGAGATTAGAATTTTCCCAATAAAATCTACAATTCTTTAAGAAATTGTTTTGCAATAGAACCAACTCAAAGAAATAGTTTGTTTTTCTTGGATATTTTTGCAAAAATGAGGAGAAGAGGTTGTGGGCCGTTTAGTGTAGATCATAAAAAGCAGTTGGTCTCTCATTGTTAATTGTCTGATTGCAAGGTGTTGATAATCTAAGAAATGTTGAATCTCAGAAATTTTAAATATTTTTCTTTAGAAAAAAAAAAAAAAAAAAAAAATGTTTGAATCTCAGAAATTAAATATTTTTTTAAAAAAAAAAAAAAAAAAAAGACTAATCTTATAAAGAAATTAGTAATTTTCATTGGAAAGGCATAATCATCCTCAAACAGAAATTAAGAAACTGTACTCAAATAAAATTATTCTTTCCTAAATTACTATAACAGATCGAAGCCGCTGTCCAAGCCGCATGGTAGATCTATTGTTAAAAGCCCTTCTACATTACGAGTCAAGTAATCTCAAACATGAATGCACTTGAATTTAACTTCATAATGCACCCCATATCATGCACACGCACATGCATGTATACACACAGCAAAAGGCATTCATTTTTCTTCCTATTCAACTCATTCAGATGCTTTTTCTTTTCTGCTCAGCTATCCCATCAAACTGAGCTGTTTTTATTTATGATATGAGGCCAATCAAAACCAATGGCATAAATTTATTCATAGAAAAAAAAAAAAAAAAAAAAAAAAAAAAAAAGAAGAAATATACGAAAAAAAAAAAAAAAAAAAAAAGAAGATATACGAAATAGAGAAGGGGAGAGAGAGAGATTACAATCTTCAACATCCTTCAGCTGGTAATAGTGAGGGGCTATTTCTACCAGCCACTCGGGCTTCAGCTCAGTTACCTACAAATTCATCTTCAGAAATTTAGCCATGCTGGCATATGCATGCCAAAAGAATCCCTTAAAAAGGGAAAAACGTGTGGAATAATATATCTTAATACTTGCCTGCCTCATGTACTCCTTGGTCGTAAGAACCAACTCATGATACGTGACCCATCTTGGAAGCACCTGAAAGCAAACAAACACAACATACAAAAACGAATCCCAATTCTTCAACTTTCATGTGAAGCATATTCAATATTCAATATTCAATTCTTTCATCCACATGGTTGGTTTTCTGTCTTCAGTATGGCCTAATTCACGACATGCTTATGCAATAAGCCACCTAGCTCGTCATAAAAGTAAATAATGCAGACACCTTACCTGAGCCAACCCTGAGCTGGGATGTATGTGAACCGTCTGAGGATGTTTCACTGTTCGATATGATCCATTCTTCTGCAGCCTTGCGGAATGAGGGAAAAAACCTGCAAATAATATTTAAATCAAATCCAATTCTGAAAATCAAAAGAAAGTAATATTTACTTGTAGGTCCTAGGAATAAAAGGCACTTGTAAATACCAGAAGTTATGCACTTCTTTATGGCATCTAAATCATTGGAATTGGATGTTAGCTCAATTTCAACCCTTTCTAAAAGGCCTTCCAACTGATCTCGAATATCTCTAGCCCGCTTCATACTCCTCACCTTGAAAGATTAAAGGTTATAGGTTATAAAAAGTACAAAGAACAGATACAGATATGAAGCCTAACAAAGGGATGATTAAAACCCATGAACAATTGTAAATGTATTACACCAGCTTGAAATATTAAATATGCATGATTCAACCCTTTTTAAAAACCATTAGTCGTCTATCACAAAACACACAGCTGAACACCGATATGAGACTAATTCAGCAAGTTACATTGAACCCACTCTAGTTAACTGCAACCCTGATCTGCATTCCTCTCGTTCTACAATAGCTAAGTTATATCTTTTCTCCTCCCTTCTTTCCTAATTTAATTTCTCATCCAAACAAAGGAATAAAGAAAAGAGTCACAGGAACCCTGCACATCCATATACTATTGTTTCGAATTCACATAACTAAAAATTTAGAAGTTAAAAATATTAAATGTCCCTACATTTGCACTCATAAGATACCCAAACAAAGCCTCATAACTTCATACAAACATCAGTGAGACTAAAATACTATATTACTATCATGATGCACCGAGAAAATATCAGCCATACCTGAATGTAATTTTCATAACACCATTGCGTCGAGTAATTAGTTTCCTTCCAAGAATTATACACCTAAAAGAACAAAAACAAAGGACATAAAATAAGATCCTTCCAGAACCCTCCTCTCTCTGTGTGCATGCACCACATATGTCATATGTATTAACCTTGAGAAGAGCTACATGGTCCCCCACATTTCCTGTGTGGAAATTCAATCTAGCATTGTCAGCATGGACTTGTTTATCCTTCGGACGATAGAATATTGAATTTCCGATGGAAAGCATGGCAGCAATAGAAATTATCTCATCTGAACACTTGTACTTGTCAGAAGCAACTATCATTTTAGATAGCATAGGATCAAGTGGGAACTCAGCCATCCTTCGACCAACTTTAGTCAGCTCCCCATGTTTATTTAATGCACTCAGCGCAAATAGAAGTTCCAGGGCTTTCAGTAATGCCTCAGAAGGCGGAGGATCCATAAAATCAAAATTTAGCAAGTCATGAATTCCAAGACTCTTTAAAGACAATACAACATTAGCCAGATTTGTCCTTTGTATTTCTGGTACAGTACTATCATCCAAGTCATGCTGATAGTTATAGGCAGTGTACAACCGGAAACACTTTCCAGGACCTGTTCGCCCAGAACGGCCAGCACGTTGCATGGCCGAAGCTTTTGAAATAGGTGTTATAAGTAAAGACTCCATTCCTGTCCTGGGATTATATGATTTCATCTTGCAAAACCCAGGATCAATGACATACTTGATCCCATCAATTGTTAAAGATGTTTCAGCAATATTTGTTGCAAGAACAACTTTTCGTGCCCCTTCAGGAGTAGGTTCAAATATTTTAGCTTGAAGCTCTGTTGGTAAATTTGCATATATAGGGCAGATAATAAGTTCTGCAATTTTTGTCCCCAAACCTCTGGTCCTATGCTTCAAAATTTCCTCAGCTGTCTCTATTTCCTCCTGACCTGTGAGGAAAACCAAAATATCTCCAGGTGGCTGAGTCACATGAATTTGAAGCGCAGTTACAATTGCTGCATCAAGGTAATCAGCTTCTGGCGCTCTAGTATAATGTATCTCAACAGGAAACCTTCTTCCAGGAATTTTGAAAATTGGTGCTGAATCGAAGTAATCACTGAATTTCTCAGCATCAAGTGTTGCACTTGAAATAAGCAACTTCAAATCTGGACGGAACCGGGCTATATCCTGCCATGCACAAACATCAAATGGTAAATTAAAACGGGCAATGAACAAACTATATTTCCTTCTGAAAACCCAGGGCGAATATCAGTTCCCCTTGAATCCAACTGCTATAATTCACACAAGCATGGAGAACAACTTTGCCACTCTGTTCGTTATATGATCATGAAACTGAAGCCTGAAGGGATGTGCTTGCCTTTACTAGTCCAAATAGTATGTCAGTTGACAAAGTTCTTTCATGTGCCTCGTCCACCATCACGACACTAATAAATTGCTACACAATGTGAGTAAATCAGTGAAACCAAGAGATCGGCACTATTAACAAGCCAGTAAAGCAAGACTCACCTGTAGCTTGCCAAGTCTGGCTCACCAAGGAATTCTCGCAAGAGCATTCCATCAGTCATATATTTAAGAACAGTCTTTTCTGATGTGCAGTCTTCAAAACGAATGGAGTACCCAACCTGAAAATAAAATGGTAATAATTACTGGTGTCCATTCAGCAGCAGAAAGATAACGGTATACAACTCCCGACTGTAATAAAAACACAAGGCAATAAATACAGTCTCCGAATTTTTCGCATGCCAATGAAGCCGAATCATATAAACACAACATCATGATGATTTACACCCAGCGCCAAATGATGTAAGACATGTTAAAGTAAGCCTGACAATGATATGGTGGGGAATTCAAGCAATTCATCAGTCTTAGGGTGTGAAAAGGATCTGGAAATGCAGGTTTGTACGGATGCAAAAATAAATAGAGATTTAGCTTTGAGATTAAGTGTATAAGAGAACAAACCTATGTGGAAAGGGTGCTGTGAACAGTACACCTGATAATTTAGGCTATTAGAATAATTAGGATGAATTTCACTGGTTGTGCGTGAACACAGGGGATACGCACTTAATGCCTTGCCTTCAATTTGTAACTTAAAGATGCTCCAACTTTAATTTAACAATGGTAAGAAGACCTTTGCCCGTTTTGATTGACTTCCGACCACCGGAATGCCATATGACACTGACACTTGGATTTCTCTTGTTTCCATGTTGGCATTTTCTCTCTTTTTTTTATTATTTTTTTGTTTCCATTATCTCTCTCTCTTTCCTCTCTCCATCCCTCCACCCATTACAATTCATAAAGAACTCGACAACCTTAAACCCATCTTCAGATTCCTCTTCAAGACCATCTGCCTCTCTAAGCTTATTTTGTTGCAATTTTCGATTAGAGCAGAAAAATGAGATATAGGGTTCCACAATGAAAGATGCATTCAAGCTTTTGACTTTATAACAAATCTAAGAGACAGCCAAAAAATACAATCCCAAGACTTGAGAAAAATAGCTGAGCTCAGGCTTCCAGCCAGTATACAAGGAACAGAGGGTCCAATTTCAAACCTTAGGTGCTATAACAAGAAAGAAAAAGGCTTGACTTCAAAACTGGATCAAGAGAGCTCTAAATTAAAGATTTCTTCAACAAAGAACCTAAAACAATGAAAAACAAATTTATAAAAACTCGGAAGGAAAGATGTTGGCTCAGCTTCAAAAGAAATTTCAGGTGAAAAACCAACAGAAATATAAAATCCAGAATTGAAATGACTCAATTCAATAATGTCAAAACCCCACTAGAGTGAAAACTTAAACAAAGAAAACAAATTTGGAAGAAACCCAAGAAAGACAGAGAGTAAACCCTAGAACACCAAAACAAAATTTGTAGAGAAACTCGCATCAGATGGCCTATGGACGGAAAAATGATCGACCCCGATTTGGACTTCATTGGCGGCATTGTCCATTGGCTTTCAGAAGCTCGTCGTCTGGGCAAGGTGCGTTTACTTTGTAAGTTATGTAACGACGTAGTTCGTTTGGAAATTGGGTGCAGGCTCGGGTAACCGGAGGTGAAGGCGAAAGTTAAGTGGGAGATTGGCGTCGGATCCTTGATTGGCAAAGCCAGAGTTGGTAGAAGTAGTAGCCGGGCGGCTAATGTTCCCAAATTAAGGATAAGAAGAGATGAAAAAGAATAGAGAAATTTTTTATTGTATTAATAAAATTAAAATAAAAAAATAAAAAAAAATGTTGAAATGGAGAGAAATTTTTTAATCAGTGAAAATCTAAGTTAATTAAAAAAACTCCACGAGTCATGCCACGTAGCATTCTGGTGATCGGAAGTCAATTAGAACAGGCAAAGGTCTTTTAAGTTCAGAAACCACGAGTGAAATCAACCCAAACAATTAGAAAGACCTATAATATGTACAATTAAAAGGTCCCTAAACATCAAAATGATACCAAGTTCTTAGACCAAAAATTTGCCTCCAGTTCCAGAAGAGGACAATAATTTTGAGGTCATGGTAGTGCCCAAGCATCATTAGTTGGCTGTAATTAAAAATTGAATTCCATGATGTAAACATGAAAATACCAATCCTAAACTTTATAGATCACTGCAAGCAAAGATTTCACTAAAATTTCTCTTTCAACTTTTCAAGCATTTTCCCATGAAATATTGAAAACACGGATACCCAAAAAAAAAAATTATGCAGTAAAAGAAATTTTGTTTAATTTCACAAACAATAATTATAAATGTATAAATTAAAGCTAAAAAGATTCAACATTATAATTAAATGTTTCTCCAAAATCTCTCATAATGTTTAACCATTTTGAATAATTATTAGTGTTAAATTAAAGTTAATTCTCTAGGTATTTAAAACCCTAGACCAACTTCCTCGACAAAAACCCAATATGGTCATCAAAGTCCAAACTAAAGATTAAGTTGACCATATAAATTTGAAAGCATATAAATCAATTTTCAATAACCACAAAGTTCAGGGTGTCGCACATAATTATCCCTGAAAATTGTACCAGAAACAATTGAGAAGTGAATACAGCACGATTTGGAACATGAAATACAACAGGCAGAAGTTTATAACCAACGAAAGCACAAGACTTACTTCATGCCCAAGTTTGACTCCCATTTCTTGAGAAACCCTAGCAGCAACACTCATAGCAGCAACCCGCCTTGGCTGGGTGCAACCGACCTGTGAGACAAAGAAGACAAACTTATAAGTCTCCAGCATGGTCTTCAATTTTTTTCAAAAAGTACCAAACATGAATGGTGAATCATCAATTTTATACAAGGCCATAGGACTGAAGTTGTATGTTTGCTGATCAACAATTTTAGTCATGACCATAAATTTTTTATGATATAGATACATAAATAAGTACATACATGCACCTATTTGCATGTAGTTGACAGCAGGATTTTGAACTCTGGATCATAAGTTATAGAGAGGGGTCGAGCTACCAATTAAGAATGCCTCACTGCCACTTCTTTAAGATTTAAATATTTAGAATTTGCACAGACAAATTTAGTGCAACAATCTTTTGAACAAAGCTAGCAGGCTACATGCTGAAAACTTTGTTTGGTTCTTTAGATTTTATCACTGTCTAATTGGATGTCTCTCTCAAACAGTTTTTCACTGTTCTCAGTATGTATTCTTTAGACCTACGATCAAAAGAAACCTCGGTGCTACGTGTTTGTCGTTTTCAAGTTCCACAACACTACATTAAAGCACACAACACTGAAGCATTCAAATCATCAAGAATCAATTTAAATGAATTATGAATAAATAATCACAAAATTCAACTGACAGAATAACAGAAGAAGTCACAAAGAATGTAACCATTAAACAGCAAGTGGCCTAATAGATTTGGTTTTATATTACCACAATAATTGCACCAGTAGATCATTCCCTTTGGTTTAATTTTTAATTACAAAAATTCAAACATTTGTTACTTCTGTATGCATTTCCCACTTAGGATCATCTTATTTAGGAAGCATTTTTATATTATAATGTAGCAATTTCATTATTCAGAATTTGTTTCATTACTGTTATGCAGACTTCATATGTTGCTTTTTACATTACTGAGCTACCACTTGTAGCAACGAATTTCCTATATTTTTCTTGCTCTGGCCAGTGCTTTTAATTATCAAGCTTCTTATTCTTTAAACCTGAACGCTAAGATTACTCAAAATTATCCCACCATTAAGACATCAGTAGGCACCTTTCATCAGTGTGTGTGTAACAAATTATTCCCAAAATCACAAAAACTCAAAAGTTCAACAGAAGGTAACAATAGTTCTAACTCCAACAAAATCTACCATCAACCAAAGGGCAAGGAACAAACTTATACCTTTCCACGCTTGGTGTATCCAGCTTCATGAAGGTACTGTGGTATTTGCGTGGTCTTTCCAGAACCAGTTTCTCCTACAATAACAAGAACCTGCAGTAGAAATTAACCAAAATAACCACAGGTTAAATACATCTGAAAATGATTAGTCCATGCAAACTATGCCCCAGACTTGAGCACAACTAGTATTTATATGCCATGTTTCAAGACATTAATTTCAAATTAAAACTTAAAAATGTAATCAGGGAAAATTGAATACCTGATAACTCTCAATCGCCTCAAGAAGAGCATCTCGAAATCCATAGATAGGTAAGGTTTTCCTTTCCTCCTGAAATAATAACAAAAAAATCTCACATATTTTAGCGACATTCTCTGTTAGAGGATACGACATGCCAAACTAGATTACAAGACATGGTCTTAGGCCCATCATCATTAATGTATGTGCAAAATCCATCAACATTGAAGCTTTTAGCTTATACAGCCTATTTTAGATGTGCTTCTCCTCATAATTTGCATTTTTAATTGGGCAAGTTCGCTATATCAACATTTATGATTGTTAATTGGGTAAGTTTGCCATTTCTGTATTTTTGAATGAAAAATTAGAAGACATCAAATCATAAACTGAACATAATTTGCAAACCAAATTGCATATTGATTATCAATCCTTAAAGTTTCAGCAGTTGTGAGATGAGCCAACAATCCATATCAGGTACCCAACACACCTAACGACCTCCCTCTGCTAGGTCCTCCAGCAGATGTAACCTAAAGCAAGAGTTCAACTCAGAAATCCAAATGAAAACCAGAGACAAGGGCATATTAATTTCACCACAAAGCTAGAATGTCAGATATGTGTAGAACCCAGGAGATAGGCAAACAAGTTCCAATCCCTGTCAGTTAACCAGCCATCCCAAAACCTTGGGAATGGGATTACCAAAAAACAAGTCCCTCATCAAGAAAAAGCTACACGATTCTCACTTTCATCAGCTTTATAACTAGAAATGCAAGATAATTAAGTTCCTAATAATGTCATGGCAATTTTCTCTATTTCAAATTACACTGTAGCTAAATGTAACAATCAAACTCTTATCCAATTCAATTTTAGGAAAACAATTAACAGAAACCATGTATTAAGTGAGTCAAAATAAGGGCACCAAGAATGCGAATTCTCAATGAAAGAAAATAACAAGGAGAACAAAAAATCTGTTATATGATATATGCCATCTATAACTGTTTGGATGTTTATACCAAAAGTAAATACCAACAGTAGAGAATATCTTCCACACAATCTATTTATATATGATGTACAGATTTTATTTGGTCTAACTCTAGGGAGAATCCTTCCTTGCCCTGCATCGACAATTTCTTGATATCAGCAAATAGGTAGAATGACATCAAAATGCGGTCTGAAAGCTCCTACCAAGTCATCAACCTATTCTCCCTCATGTGGATGCTAGATCCCTGGTTCCTAATCCCTTCCATTTTGAAAATATGTGGCTTAAAGCAAATGCCTTTAAGGGTCTAGTTAGAGGCTTGTAGCATGAGTATCACAATTAAGGTAAAGTTAATTAGGCTCTTACTACAAAAAGTGAAATTCCTTAAAAGAAAACAAAGGCTATCAACTAAACAGTGTTACCAACAGCTTTTACAATCTGATTTCTAAAGTGCTTGTTTCAAGACTAAGGAGGCAATTGGCAAAGTTGTGGGGCTCATCCATAGCTTTGCATGAATGAGAACAAATCCTTAAAATATGGGTTCGTATAAAAGTAGTCGGGCAGTGATTAATCAACCCGGTAGAAAGAAAGTCTTTGGACATATTTGTTGGGATTTTCTCATCTGTGTCCTTGGGAAATGGGCTCTGTGTCTTGCATATTCCAAGACGATAAATAAGTCTGAATATTTTGATGGTTCAATTGCAAATGGATTAAAAAGAAATGCTGGTATTTACCTTGCTTTTCTATATTGCCCAATTTATGCCCTTTACATTTATTTCTCTTTGCAATTTCTTTGTTAAGGAAACCTTTTGTCACCCTTTCTTTTAGTTTTAGTTATGGGGTTTGAGCAAATGCAGTCTAGATCAGTGGAGGAGATATGCTATCTGATAAATCCCTTATACATATTTATACTCTTGTGGTTTTGCAGTTTTCTCACACATTAGTAAACTGCTACTGGATTCATAAATGAATTTATTTTATAATTTAATATCATAAATTAAATACATTGATAGAGATAATGTGGCAAGCACGAACAACAATTAATAATGCAGTTACAACATTTTATAGTTAGTTAAAATTTTTAAAATACACTTGATGTTCACTATTTTTCAATATAGTAGTCAATATCGTACCAGTATCTAAGAACATAAAAGTACGAAATTAGATATTACACTATTATTACTAATAAAATTTTATGGTATTTTTGTAATCAACATAAATTTGAACATAAGTGCATGACAGAAAGACTAGTGGCAAAAGAAGCAAGGGGTCTATAATGAGTTGATGACTTGACTCATTTTATAGACTTTTGTCAAGTGCTAATACGAGGTCATAATTAAATCATTAGGAGCAAAGAGTTTCCCCTGAAAGCTGAAATAACTAACATTGTAACACTAACTATTTGTGTTCTTCCAAATAGCAACAGCAAAAGAAAATTGAAGGTATACCCCATACAGACTTTTAGGAAGCTAAAACTGAGGCTTTTCCTAACACACAACACATATTCTTTAGTGGCAAAATTCGCTTCAAGTGACTTTGGGGGAGATTAAAAAATAACACAAACCCCACTAGGAAAAGAAAAGTAAAAATATAGATAGACAATAAAATATACACCTGAAGCTTCTCCAATGCAGTTTTTCCCCTAGACTCATCCAGTGACTCAGCATGCAATTGATCATCAAACTGCAAATCCAAAAAGGTAGTGCAATTATATGTGACTTTTAGAAGAAAACTGGGCATCCATTATTAGATAATTAAGCTAGTAACAGATCTACCTTGTCACCATCCATAACTGATTCCTTGATGAATTCAATCTGGTCTTCAAACACAAACCTAAGCCATATTTAGAAAGTGCTAATCATGTGTATTCATACAAAAGAACATATGTGAACATTTTAATTCAGAAGAAAAGAAAAAATGAAACAATGTTGAAACCACCGAACAAGAATGTAAAACATGAAAAAATAAGAAATGCTTGGTCAAAAGTTCCATCAACTTTGTGAGTCAAAGGATATTTCAACTTACTGATAATCATCAGATATTTGCTTTTTATTCTTTGAACCAAACTTCAATGATGCTTTCCCTGGAGGATGATGAAGGCTTCAGAATTAGTCTCAAAACTTAGTAGCAACAAAGAGATGCAAAAAGAATGCTAAAACCTTCCCGAATTTACCAATTTGATAATCTTCCCAAGCCTCCTGCTCTGCAAATGGGTTCATTTTATCACCAGCAGTAGGGTCCCTATGAAAAACAGTAAAAGATAATCTTAATAAGACAGACCAACAGTTGAATATTGAAAACAGTAATGTTAATTACTAGGATGAAAATTTTCTAACAGAAAACAATTTATGTAATGTGTAAAACTATTTGGTGCTCTTGATCAAGAGTAGCATTCCATTTCCAACTGACCTATAGCGCTGCAAAGCAACAGCGAACCTCTTCTCTTGATTAACACCCCCTTCCTGATCATATGCATCCGGCATTCTGTACTGCGTTTTCATAAAGAATGTAGGACAGCATATAATTTGTTATAAACAGTTACACAACGACCACAAAAACATGTATAAATAGAACATAGATGAAATGCATGATAGAGAATCTAAGTTAATCTGTCAGCTCGATTAAAATGGCAAAAAAATGCAGAGGGAAGATGAAACTAGGAAATCAAATTTTAGAATAATATAATCATTTTATTTCCTGTTATATTGGATAATAGGGGCATTGAGAGAAGAGATTTAGTTTAAGAGAAGGGATTTCTTGAGGATCCTAAACCTAGTTCCTTTCAGGAATCAAGCAACTCAAATCATTACCATAAGTTGCAAAGAAAAAGAGGGAGGAAGAAAGAGCCAAAAGGAATATAACCTCCAATACTATGAACCTGATAAAGTCATACCAGTATCGTAAATCTACATTATGATGTTCACATTTTGAAAAGTAGCACAGAACAAGAACAGTCACCTCATTTTCCCACAAATCACCCACGTATGGGAATATATATAAAAAAGTATGTAGAGAAATTATAACCTAGAATTTTTTTCCTCCCTCCAGTTCTCTCTTCATTTCCTACAAGATTGAATTTTGATTTCACTCTGTCAAACACTAAAAATTTCCATTAGAACCCTGATCAACTTTACAACACTAAAAATTTCCATTGGAATCAGTTAATGCAGCATAGACATTCAACCATAAATAGTCAAAAACTTAATCTTCTTCTCCTTTTTGAGTCGGTTATTTTTAACAATATTTAGATCCTCAAAGACATTGCCCTTACTTTTAGCAATTACATTGGAGCAATAATTTTTCTGATATCTCCTTGAAGAACTTTTTCAACTGCTGCAATATCAATTTTGTCAATTCATACATTAAAGTGGCTTTCAGGGTTATATGGCCTTGTACAACTTTACAATTATATAAAGGTGAGAAAGTAAAGTATTTGTGATTATATAAGAATAACGATCTAGATTACAGATATTGTCAAATGGTCATCTCTCGATTTTCCAAGGGGAAAAGAATGATACTAATATCTATTTGACGGCTTTAGAACATTGAAAACCTCAAGCATTTGCCACTAAACTCCATATTGTCACATTCAATAATTACAAAGATGTGAGTACTCATAACAACAACCAGTTTACTCTAATAAAAAGAAATCATTGCATCAAGAAAATTTGAGAGTTATATTTTACAATCCTGATAAAACACGTATTATTGTGACAGATAAATGACAAAAATAACAAAAACATAATATGGAACAACACCCGAGAAAAGATCTAAACAAATGATTAATTACCTCATTTGCGTCGTCTGGTGCTTCTGATCTCTTCTTTACAAGCTCATATATTTCTCTCTTGTATCTGCCAAATAAGATATCAATGATGCTTATTGTCTTGTATGCTATAGCAAATAACTTCACTGGTTAAAAGGGTTAGAATTGCATGTTAGCCTATGACAGCAAACAAGATTGGGAATGTTTAATAATTAATCACACAAATTTCAATACAGATAGAGAGAAGGAGGAAGGAGAAGACAAGAAAAAAGAAAAAGGAAGGCATTGGAAATGAGAATTAAGTCATTGTTCATTTGTATGCACCTGCTAAAATCACACCATAAAGTTAGAAAGATCAACACAAACTCTTGGATTTTTCTAAGAAATTTTGTAACTTCTCTAAGTTTATGGCCACATTTGGGTGAAAAGAAAAGAGGGGGAGAATGTCGAAAGGCAAGTATACATATACAGGGAATTTGAATTGAAAGGGTACAATGTACAACAGAAACAAATCAAATATATTACCTTAGTTCACGATTTTCTGCTTCAGTGAGCTTCACACCATCAAATAGATATTGTTCATCTTCTATATCATCTCTGAAACAGACGTGCAAAAATTAAAAACAATAAAGATTAAAAGGCAAAAAGCAAAATCCTGCAGGCTAAGCAACTGAATTTGCAGTAGTTGACAAAGGCATGCTGAGGTAACCAAAGCCTAGAGGTGACACCCCAAGTCACACGGATGGTAAATAAAGGTGCAAGGTGCACTAAGGCACAAAGGGATGTGGAGCCTAGGCACTAGCCTCCAGGCGAAGGCGCGCGCCCGAGTGAAGTGAGGTGCAAAAAGAAAAAATAAAAATAAAATAAAATACATAAATCTGAAAAATATATTTTAAGATATTAAAAAAAAAAGAGAAAATAATTAGAAAGACAAGGAAAGAAACACACATAAATCAGAAAAAAAAATGGTAACATGACAAGTTATATATTAAGATATTAGAGTTAAGACAAAAAAGTAGAAAGCAAATATAGGAGGAGAAATTGAAAGACGCAAATCTGAATGGATGTGGGCTAAAGACTAGATTGCAAGAGGTGAGTGCTAGATGATGGAGAGGAGGTTGGATCACAAAGCACATCACCAATTTTTGTGTTGCATTTTATCTCTTTTATTAATTTATTTATTTTGTGTAAGCAGATGTTGGCTAGATAGCTTTCTATCGAAAGAAAACCCTAGGTGACTTGTTCTGGAAAACAAAAACTAGAAAGTCGCGCCTTTCTCGATCCTTAGGCAAAAAAAAAAAAAGGCAAAAAACGTGCACGCTTTTGCCCAGAGGCTATAGCTTGAGTGAAGCCACCCGCCTGAGAACTGTTGAGGCGAAAGCCCTTGAGCCTTAAGTAAGGTGAGCCTGAGGCGCGCCTGCAATAACTATGGCCACACATCTAGGTGTCTCAGCATGTCTCTCAAGAGACTAAGGGTATTTTACTTATTTAAGCAAGAAAATATACAACATAGCTGAACAAGTCATGCCTAAGGTGCCATGCCTAAGGCTTATGTCTAGGCACCAAGGCGCATGCCTCAGGGGCTTAGGGATTTTTGTTCTTTTAATTTTACTCTTTACTTGTTCTACTTATGTTGGATGTTTTTAGTTTATGCCTTTGTTATTTGCTCAACATTTATAGCCTCCACCTCCTAAGGTTGTATGGTTTTGGTTCTAGTTTGGTTCTTGAGAAGAACCAGAACCAAAATCATAGTTCGGCTTTTTTAAATTTTGGAACCAGAATCAGAACCAATTAACTTAGGAACCGGAACTAGAATTCGATTCACTTCCAATTTGGTTCTTCAGTTCCGGTTCTACAGTTTTGGTTTCAATTCCAATCCCCCCCCAATGGTTTTCGGTTCTAGTTTGGTTTTGAAGAAGAAACCAGAAACCAAAATCATAGTTCGGCTTTTTTAAATTTTTGAACCAGAATCCAGAACCCAATTAAACTTAGGAACCGGAACCTAGAATTCATTTCACTCCAATTTGGTTCCTTCAGTTCCGGTTCTACAGTTTTGGGTTTCAATTTCCAATCCCCCCCCCCCCCCCCGCGGATTAAAACGGATTAAAAATTAATACACTACTCTCCACATTGATACCGCATTTCCTTTAAATTAAAAAAAAAAAATCAAATACAAGATAATTAAAAGAAAAACTCATCCATAATAATTATAATAATAGTACAAAATTACAATATAATACTAAATCATAATTAATAATTGATAATTGTATTCTTTTTTTTTAAAGGAAAAACGTATTAATAATTTCTTTTTATTTCAGATAATAAAATATTAAAAATAAAGAAATTAAAACACTAACAATATAACTAAGTCTTAAAAAATAATGGAATTTAATATTATTGTCCAATAAAATAGTGAAAATGTCACCTTACACTGATAATATCTTCATTTTAAAAACCTACACTAAAGTGATACAGTTTCGATGTTGGTTAACTTGAGCTCAAGTACAAAAACTACGTGGGTTTGATTGTTAAGGGTTAGTTATTAATTATAAATATTAGTAACCATGTTATCATTAACAATCTACTATTATTATCATTAACAATCTACTATTATTACTAATTATTAGAAAGACAACAATTATAATATTATTAAAATTATCATTACTAGCTATTAGAAAGAAAATAATTATACTATTATCAAAATTAGTTGTTGTAATAATATTAAATATAATATAAAGTACACATGTAACTAGAAATGTTACAATTAATTATAGTGCTATTAAAATATTATTTATAATTAGAATCATTGTAATTATAGAATTAAATATGATATTAATACAAACTATTATTAGAAAAGCTATAATTAAAACACCATTAGAATACTAATGCAGTTATATGATCACTTGGTAATATCACTTGGTAAATATATATATATTATATATATAGATATAATATATGCAGAAGTAATATTGTTTACTAATTTGTAGGTTATAATATAAAAAAGCTTATAATGTAAAAGCGCATGCTTAAATTAAAAATTGATTTTATATATATGCAGAAGTAATATTGTTTACTAATTTGTAGGTTATAATATAAAAAAGCTTATATAGTAAAAGCGCATGCTTAAATTAAAAATTGATTTGAATTCCAGTTTCCTCCCTAAATATCAAATTCATTGTTAATTAATAAAGAGTATTCCAATCAATTACAACTAGAGTCTCACCTCACCTTAATATTTACTAGCAGATAATAATATATTTTTCAATTTAAATAATAAAAATAATGGTTGTTCTGAAGTTTTAAATTAAATAATAAATCTAAAAATTAAAAACTACATATTTATTAATTGGTTCTTCAGTTCAGCTCTAGTTCAGTTTGGGTCCGGTATGATTTCGGTTCAATTCCAATTCGAATCTTAGTGAGAATCAGAACCAAAACCAACAAAATTTTTTTTTCCAGTTCTGGTTTGAATTCTTATAAAACAGTTGTTTTCAGTTCTAATTTAGTTCATTTCTGCGGTTTGATTCAGCCCCCTCAGGAACCATGCACAGCCATCCTCATACAGCCCTCTTCTTCTTCTTCTTCTTCTTCTTCTTCTTCTTCTACAACTACTGCTAATGTGTTATGCCTTTGTCATGCATCTGATGCACCCACCACTTTCTCCAGGCCAATCCTATGTCTGCTTCTTCATCTTTTTCTTTTTTCCTTCTTACTGTCCTGATTCTTTCATCTTTCTTCTCTGCCCAATCGTTTGATGTCCCCATCATCTTTCTTTCTCATCTTTGTTCCTCCATTTCCACCCTTCTCAGTCTCAACATGAACTTTGTACCTTTATTTTCTTTTGATGACTGATGTATGAACATAAAATTGTTACTTCTTTTATTCACACTCTTGAATCTTTCATGTTTTCCCGACCTAGACTGCTAGTGGTTATTTATCTTCAGTATAATATTTGATGATGCTTTATTATGAATGGATTTCTTTTGACAACTATGATTTGCACCTAGAAATTCCAAAATTTTTCAACTAATCACCTCAAGTATGTTCCCTTTGTTTTCTTTTTCATGTTGAGGATCCAACAATCTAGTCCATAAGCAGAATGACTAAAACAAGACAACAGAAAATTTGTAAATTAGGTGACAACTAGATTTTAATTTAAGATACCTGAGTTCTTCCAATTTCTTTTGCTCCCTTTTCTTCAGATATTCTTGTCTTGACACTTTTCTGAAAAGAAGACGAGAAATAGGATTAGAGCTGCTCACTCATTAAAAAATGCAAACACAAAAAGAAAATAAAGAGAGCAACAAATACTGAAGCACACACCTCAAAGTATCGATGCCATCTTCCTCCAAAGCATGTGATCTTCGAATTTCTTCTTCTATAGCACCAAAGATGCAAAACAGAAGGGGTAATGGAGACGAAAGATAACTTAATTCAAATGAATTATAAAGGATTCTTAAGAGTGTGATTTGTTTACATGACATTTAAGATGTTATACCTGCCTCCTTTTTTGTTAACTTCGGCTCTATTAGCTGTTAAAAATAGACCAAAATGACAATATCAGTGACATAAAACTAAAAATGTTCAAGAATATGATTTGTTGGCAGGAATTAAGCCCATTCCACAATACAGGTTATTCTAGTGAAGTTTATCCCATGTCAAGTGGGCCAGTAACAGAATCAGTACTAATCAGCTCATTTTACACGTATACGTCAAAAATCCAGAAAAATGTTTCAAGGTTGCATTTAACAGAAGATTGTTTAACAAAATTACAATTCTTTGCATAAAAGATTATGACAGTAATAGCAAGTCTCTGCAAATCCTAGTAATAATAGAATACGAAATGGAAATGCCAATTTAGATCATTAAAGTTAAATGTGTACCTTCCGAGTCCCTGCAGCATCACGTTCTCTTATATTGTGTTCTAATTGCTCCCTTTCTCTTTGATCACGCAATCTTTCCTCCTCAGACTGCAAGCAGAAAGATATAAATGCCATATTTAAATTTTACAGAAACTAACAAAGAACAAAGCTAAATATGCAGCAAATTACAGACTTAATTCAAGTACTTGTGTTCGAGGTGATTAATAAAAATAGAACCCATTATAGATTATGAGTATCTAGCTACTTAAACGCATGGAATAGCTTTCTTTAGTTCAAATTCTAAGAATTACAGAATACCTCAGAACCATCATCTTCATCCGGAGAAGTCCGCTGTCTAACATGCCTCTCTTCTTCTTGTTTGAGCAACTGCATCATTTCATTTTTATCAAAAAGTAAAAAATGCTTGATGTTAAAAACAGCACTGTTCAACAACTTACTATAAGAAATGAACAAAAGAATAACAATTTGCCTCATCTTCTTGATCCTCTTCACTGCCAATCTTCTTCCTAAATCTTTTCTTGTGTGTATCAGCTCTTCTAGGCTCGGAAGCAGCTGCGACTGATGATTTGTTATTAGAAACACCAGCAACACCATTATTGTTATCATCGTCATCAGCAGCATCCAAAATTGTGTAACTCTTCTGTTTTCTCACTAACATAGCAGCTTCCCTTTCTTGCTTTTGATAAAGCTGGAGAGAAAAGCATGGATATGTCTTGTTTAATTAACCATACAATTTAACGTGCCATAAGCCATTATCCAAACTTACAAGTCCATCATCATTCATCAACTAAGAACTCACACTTAAACCAGACTGTTTATGAGGTACTCTAGAAAAAAGTTGTTCAGCAAAAGCACGGGTTTCTGTTGATGATGAAAATCCAAATTCTGCTAGCTTGCCCATTACATCAGCTGACGAATTTGCTTGTTTAGCTGCATAGAAGTAAGATTAAGCACAAACTCAATCGATTCTACATATTATACACTAAAACCTTAGTTGTACAAAGTACAGAACCGTATTCTGTTTAACTCAACACATTCAATATATTATACATCAAAATCATTCTTTATATGACATAAATATGCAAAAGTGACTCACATAAGCCGATTATGTACTGAACAACTGTATTCTGCGAATAGCCCAGCAATGACATTAACTTATCAGATACCCATGTCTTCAAATCACTGTCTCCCATTTTCTCTGCACCATATAATGAAATAGAACAAACAAAATCAAACACCAAGTCGACAAATTTTTCTAAAAATCTCCGATTAAAAGAAATCTCAAACCTCTTCAAGTAGATGTAAGGCGAGAGAACGAGAAGCAACTACAGCTAGGGTTTTCAATTGAGCTTCAATTCAAAATTGAAAGTGCAAGCAGGAGCAACTACAGTTATGCGTTTGTTGTAGAAGGTTTATGTAAAGACTAGTTTATATGCCTGCCGAGGAAGAGAAAGAACAATAAATAATTTCTTCTCTACCACTGTTATTCTTCACAAAATAGAAGATCCAAAAAAGAGCAGGGTGGTGGTAACTTGTAATTTGTGAGGTTGCTTCCAACATGTTTTTTTTTTTTTTTCTAAGATCCAACAACATGTTTTTAGTGTTATAGTTCAAACTACAGTGTTATTCTTATATGTACACGTAGAAAAGGTGAATAAAAGCACCCTTACTTTTTACTAGAATTTTCTATTGAACCATTTTGTGAAATTTTTTAATATTAAACCTTGAACACATAACATATAGGACACGCAGCTAGGATAGGCACCGGGCGGTACCCGCAAAAATAAACTACCTGAATCCGTTAAGGAATAAACCAATAATACCCAAACCCGTCCCAAATTCGTTTAGAAATACCCACATACTGCCGAATCCGCTTACATAACCGTTTAATCACATATTTATTCAATCCATCAAACCCGAACCTGCATGAAACCCGAATCCGAACCCGAAGTGTAACAAAAACATGCATAAAAAATACATTAAAATTCAACTTCAAAATAATAAAACAACCTAACCTGTAATATTCAAAATAATAAAACAAATTAACCTGTAATATTCTCAATCAACATAAAAAATACATTAAAATTCAACTTCAAAATAATAAAACAACCTAACCTGTAATATTCAAAATAATAAAACAAATTAACCTGTAATATTCTCAATCAACAGTACATAGCAATATTAAAATAAAACAAAAGAATTGCAATTCAAACTAATATCTCAATTCTCAATTAAACAATTTGACAATCAAACATCTACTAAAATTCAATAAAAATAATATCAACCACAAACTAAAAACTAATTAAAATATAATAATACTAAACTATAACAAATTATAATGAGAACTATATCCATATAAAACATAACAAAAACTATGTCAATAAAAAAATTACTGAATTAAAAAGTACATTAAAATACTGAATTAAAAAGTACATTAAAAAAACAACACTACAAAAAAAAAAAAACATGTACATAAAGATAATATTCTTAATACAAACATAATTCTTGAACTCCACTTTTTCAAGAACCAAGATTGCAAGGATTAACAATCAACATCATCTTCTTCATCTGAAAAATAAATAAATAAAAACTTTGACATTATAATAATTTGGTAAATTTTCTATCGGATAAACAAGTATGCAAATTGAACTAGCAAATTCAAAGTCTAGCAATATGACTAAAACACTTAGATGTTTAAGCTATCAAGTCAGCCCTATATGCTTCTCAAAAAGAAAAATACAGCCCTATATAAAATCACAAAATACTAAAAAAAAAGTTCAGGAACAAATTAAACTTGTTAAACTTGTTAGGTTTGTATAAATATCTCATGGTAAAAAAATAAAAACAGGAATAAATTAAACTTGTTAACATGTTTTGCTTTCACATTTGTACAAAAAGCAGATTCCTTTTAATCATTCTCAGTATCTCTAGACAATCTTAATCATTAAAAACAAACCAAACTTTGAATTAACAACCCAAACATATCATATTTCACTTAATATATATAAATTTTCAACAAAAAAACATGCACAAAACCCATAAACGAAAAAATAAGACAATATGCAAATAATCTCGGCTGAACCCATCAATTAATTCAACAATTCCTCCTCTCTGTCTGTTTATATGTGTTTATAAATAAAGAGAGAGAAAGAGAGAGAGAGAGAGAGAGAGAGAGAGAGAAAGGAACGAAGCAAAACGAGAAAAAAAAATTAAACTGAGAACGAAATAAAAAAATCAAGAGCGAACCTGTGGCTGAAGAGCACGACTGCTGCGGAGGCGATGGCCTAGAACGAAAGCAACGGGAGGGAAGGTATAAACGAAGGTATAAAGAACGATTGTGGCTGCAGAAGTGCAGAAAACGAGCGGCGCAGGGAAGGGAGGAGGGAGGAGAGAATACGTTTGATTGAGTTGAGTTTGAGAGAACTTTCTGTTTGTTGTTTGTGCGATTAAAATCCAACCCTAGGCTAAAACGACGTAGTTTTGGTTTTGGATTCATTTAAACCTCCCCTACATCAAAACTACGTCATTTTAATGGTAAAATAGTTATTTTTGTTATTATTATATTAAAGTTATTATTTTTCTTATTATTCTTAAAGTTATTATTATTATTATTATTATTATTATTATTAATTAAAAAGCTATGATTATATTCCAATATTATAGTAAGTGTAACATTCCAATATTTATAGTAAGTGTAAACAAAATATTAATATAAAGTATTAAGTTTTTTAATTATTTTTTATTAGAGAATGTAATTTAGTAGGTTATAATTTGTCTTAGTTAATCAAAGGTAACTAAGAAATTGGATAACTTACTTCATCTCATTCACTGGTTTATTCCATTTTTTCTTATTAATTCTTAAATTATTATTATTTATTATTATTATTAATTAATTAAAAAGCTATAATTAATTATATTCCAATATTATAGTAAGTGTAACAAAATATTATATAAAGTATTAATTTTATTATTTTTTATTTGAGAATATATATAGTAGGTTTGTAATTAGTGTTAGTTAATCAAAAGGTAACTAAGGAGTGAATAACTACATTTAATGATGTTGTTGCATCCGTTTATCCTCCTTTAAAAGAAATTAAATTTGGTCATCAACATCAAATAGTTATATGTTCTTCTTTTAAGATGATAAATACAATAGATGATGATAAGAAAAATTCTACATTAAAATATATTAAAAATGTTCAATTTCAAAATAATTACACAAACCAAATACTCAACACAATAGAGTCACAATTAGATAGATTAGAAATTCAAACTCCAATATCTTATACTTCTCATATTCAAATACCCTTACCAATTACTAAACCAGAAATTTCAATATTTAAGCCCTATGAAATACCTGCAGAACAAACAGTTAAGTTAGACAAAACAGAAGATATGTTACCTGCAGAACAAACAGTTAAGTTAGACAAAACAGAAGATATGTTAAAAAATATATAAAATAGGTTAAATTGTTTGAATATTTCCACTTCTTCTAGTATTAAGTAAGTAAAAACAAACAATTTAAAGAAGAAGAATCTGACACAGATATTAGTCAATTAAAAAAACAATTTAGTGAAAAATTTATTGTTCAAAAGATTCATAATGCACCATTATCCAAAACTAGAAATTTTTACCCTAGGCCGACACCTCCAGATATACAATATGAAGATAGATCTGCCATGACTCAGCTAGATACAATGCAAAATCAATTAATAAATGGAATATAGATGGATTATCAGAATATCAAATAATAAATATGTTACAAGAAATGATTTCTAATCAGCTCATAAGTCTAAAGATAACATTAATCTAGCTGTAGCTCATATATTAATCTCAAAATTTACTTGTCAATTAAAAGAATGGTGGGATAATTATCTTTCTTTAGAAGAAAGATAAAAAATATTAAATGTTACTAAAACTATAGTTAAACAAGAAGGTCAACAACAAATACATACAACTGTACGAGATGCAATTAATATATGAATTTTTGCAATTACTAAAACCTTTATAGGTGAGCCAGGAGAATATCAAGCTAGAGCATTTGAATTATTAAATAATTTGACTTGCCCAAAGTTACAAGATTTTAGATGATATAAGGATGTATTTCTTATAAAAGTATTTACTAGGCAAGATTGTAGTCATGCATTTTAGAAAGAAAGATTTATTGGTGGATTGCTTAAGTTATTTGCTGAAAAGGTACGCTCGAGAGGTACGGCTCGAGAATATGAGGGATATACGGGATTTATACCTTTGATGATCCATATCCTCACATAATGGGCAACAACACAATTATTTATCATTGTGTGTGAGTTACATGAAGGTTTAGCTTTATGTACAGATCTTAAGTTAAAGCAAAAATGAAGGAGAAGTGAGTTCCATCAAAGAGTAGAAAAGAATTAGGAAGTTTACTGTTGTCAAAGTAGAAAAGAATTAGGAAGTTTCTGTTGTCAGTATGGATATGAAATGTTATATCCTCCTTTTGTTAGAAATAAGAGGAAACATAAGAAAAATCCCTATAGAAAACCTTTTAGAATTAGAATTTTTTGAGATAAAACCTTTAAGGATAACAAACCCCCTTAGATAGCTAAAAAGAATACACTTAAAAGAAAAGGTAAAAGACAAATAGTGTGTTACAAGTGTGGAAAAGCAGGACACTATAAGTCGCAGTGCAAGATGAGAGAAAAAATAAATAATCTAGATATATTGGATAAGTTAAAACAACAAATGTGCAAGATGAGAGAAAAAATAAATAATCTAGATATATTGGATAAGTTAAAACAACAAATGATGAGTTTGCTTCTCACCGATACAGATACAGATTTAGAAATAAGTTATAACCTGGAGATTTATATAAAATAGAATCTAGTTATTCAAAAGATAGTTCAAGTGATATAGATAACTGTAAATGCGATGGTCCCTGTATTTGTAAGATAAATAGTATAAACATAGTTACTTGAGAGACAAATTTTCTTTTAGATTGTATAGATAAGATTAGAGATAAGGATGTTAAAAAGCAATATTTGTTAAAATTAAAATATGTGATATCACACAAAGACAAAAAACAATATGAGCCTGAGTTAAAAGAAATATCAATAGTAATAAAGAGAAATTTTTTCCTTCTTTAGCCGACCTACAAGGAGAAATTAAGATAGTTAAAAAGAATTAAAAAAAGAACATAATAAAATTAAACAAAACATCATTCAGTTACAAGTTAATAAAATTATAGATGTTCAAACAAAACCCTCAGAAAATAAGAAAATAAATAATTTGGCTGAAACATTATCTTATGATGAGTTTATTAATGTAATATTTAGAATAAGCTTTCAGATTGGATAATTTTAGTTAAATTAGTAGTTGAAAATGATTTTCATTTAACTAAGACTGCATTAGTTGACTCTGGTGCAGATCAAAATTGTTTGCAAAAAAGATTAATTCCAACTATATGTTATGAAAAAACTAAGAAAATGTTATACATAGCTGATTGTAGTAAGTTAAGAGTAGAATATAAATTAATAAAAGCAAAAATATGTACTGACGGTTTTTGTTTTAAAATGCCCTTTAAAATTAATAAAAGCAAAAATATGTACTGACGGTTTTTGTTTTAAAATGCCCTTTATTTTAGTTAAAAACCTTACTACAAGAGTAATACTAGGAACACTTTTTTTAGCTACTATCTATCCCTTTAAAGTAGATAATGAAGGATTAAAAAAAATATCTTAAATAATCAAATATCTTTTAATATTATGCAACCAATTAGACAAAATGATTTAAGTGGTATACAAGATATTTCTATATATAAAGAAATAAATCTCATTGAACAAAAACAAAAACATATTAGCTATTTGAAACAAGAGATTAATAACATTAGGATTGAAAATCAATTACAACAGACTCACATACAACAAAAAATTAAAGACTTTGAAGAACTTTTAAATAAAGAAGTATGTTCAAATACTCTGAAGCCTTTTGGTCTAGAAAACGACATATAGTTCATTTACCTTATATAAAAGATTTTGATGAGAAAATTATCCCAACTAGATCTAAAGCTATACAAATGAATAAACAATTACAAGAATATTGTTACAAAGAGATAAATGATTAAATGAATAAACAATTACAAGAATATTGTTACAAAGAGATAAATGATTTATTAGATAAAGGATTAATTAGAAAATCTAAGTCCCCTTAGAGCTGTTTAGCTTTTTATGTCCAGAATGTGGCAGAAATAGAAAGAGGAGCACCCAAATTAGTTATTAATTATAAACCTTTAAATAAAGTATTACAATGGATTAGGTATCCTATATTAAATAAAAGAGATTTGTTAAAAATGTTACATAGTGCAAATATATTTTTTAAATTTGACATGAAATCAGGTTTTTGGCAAATACAAATATACGAATATGATAGATACAAGACTTGTTTTAATGTCCCCTTTTGTCATTATGAGTAGAATGTTAATAAACCTTTAAATAAAGTATTACAATGGATTAGATATCTCATACCAAATAAAAGAGATTTGTTAAAAAGGTTATATAGTGCAAATATATTTTCTAAATTTGATATGAAATCAGGTTTTTGGCAAATACAAATACATGAATCTGATAGATACAAGACTGATTTTAATGTTCCCTTTGGTCACTATGAGTAGAATGTTATGCTATTTTATTTGAAAAATGCCCCTTCTGAATTTTAAAATATTATGAATGACATTTTTAACAATTATCATGAGTTTTCAATAGTTTACATCGATGATGTGCTTATTGTGAGAGAATAGAGAGAGAGGACAAAATTGTGTTATATTAATATATAAATAATAATATATAATAAGAGACTAAATTAATAATATCTCTTTTTTTGTATTTACACACTATATATTCCTTCTCTCTCTCCTTCCTTCTCCTCTCCGCTCGCCTTTGTTTTTTTTCTTTTTTTTTTTTTTTTTTTTTTTTG